TCTAAAATAAAAGTAGTTTAAAAAGCTTCACCTTGACAATTCCAGGAGCCCGTCAAATGGAAAATATATTCCTGGGGAACAATGTGCCGTGGCAAAGGGGAACAACTTCTCACGTATACATAAAATCTTCCGTTCAATTTATTTGTTGAACCTTGGAAAAAATGGAGACATGGAAGCTCCTTTATGACTTTATTATGATATTGGCAAAGCCTTGTATAAACTTGTGCATTTCCCTTCAGTCACAATGAGTATGCACTATCTGGCATTTCCAAGTCAATTCCGCAATTTTTTTCCCCAGCGAGAAAATGACATCCAAGCGATGCGAATTTTCATCATTGGAAGTAAAAGATGAGAATGAATTATATGATATAAATCGAGAGTAGCCAATGGAAGGTTGAAAGAAGGGTCGATGCAACAGGTGCGTTTCAAAGAGTGATTACATTACTGATGATATCATGGGGAGGAATGATGCTGGATAAAGCACAAACCCTACAATATGATATCCTTAAATATGATGATAATTATTATCAGGATAGAGTGATTGTTACTAGCAAACGTCAACAGATGAAGTGGGTTAAAATTCTAACATTTTTGACCCCTCAAGCAACCATCTTGAAGGGCCAATACCAAAAGAACTTGTGAATTTAAAAGCACTCTATATCCTCAACTAGTCAAATAATGATCTTAGGGGCCAGATACCATCATCTATTGGGAATTTGAGAAAGCTCGAGTCCGAAGACTTTCCAAACAACTCATTGACGGGGGAAATACCAACTCAGATGGTAGATTTGTGTTTTCTTTCATCCTTGGACCTCTCATATAATCATCTAGAAGGGAGAATTCCATCTGGTACTCAGATTCAATCTTTTGATGCATATTCTTTGATAGGCAATGACGGGTTATGTGGACCTCCTTTGACCCAAAAATTGAGTCGACTATGAAACACCAGGGATGTCACGATCACCTCACCCTGAGAGCTCAATTGATTGGAATTTCATAAGTGCTGAATTGGGATTTGTTTTTGGGATTGGGATTGTTCTTTTGTCTCTAGCTTTCTGGAAGCCATGGAGAACATGGTACTGGCAACACCTTGATGACCTGCTTCATAGGATATTCCCATGGCTGGATTTTGTGGATGAACACCATGGAGGGAAGAATTACAGAACTCTAAAGTGGATGTCTCACTAATCCGCATTTGTGGCGCATTCTAATCACGTTACAATATTATGCTGCTTCATAGAATGTTTGAGGCAAAGTTCAAACTGATGAGAATAGATGCCACGCACAATGACCTTTTTATTAATCAATGTGGTTTTATTTTCTGCCTTTTATTCTCATGAAAATGTGTGGAAATATAGCATCTTTTAAGTTTTATCTCAGCTATCAGAGTGAGTTTGATTTCCAACATCAAATCCTCAAATGATTGCTAAGACAAATATATATATATATATATATATATATATTTTAAGATGTTGAGTCGGATTGTGCATCTGTTAATTTTCTTGGAAAATTCAGGGCTCTCGCTGCATACGGGACATAGCCATTGTCAAAGACATGCACTGGCTTTTCTTTTAGTCATGTACTGCACTCTTTCCTGTTCGTTGAAGCTTCCTTCTCTCCCTGTCATCGATTTTTGCCAACTCTTGTTGCATGATTGACCATACTGATTACAGGTTCTACTTCAATCATGTCAATGAAATTAAATTAGAAGGATCACTTTTCCACAGCATATTGAGAGTAAATGTAGTCTATTTGAACTTTAAAAAAAAATAACATTCAAAAAACAATAATTTAAAATGGGGCCCTTTGTAGCTGTGTGAAGCAATTATTTATATAAATGAGTTTAAATGTCACTTCTTGCACATAAAGGTTATTTCTAGTTTTATCCGAGATAAAATAAAACTTTCTTTACCAATTGCACTCACTCTATTTACAACATGTTGGGGAAACTACGTACAAGGGAATTGAATGGATAGTGGTTGAAGCCTTCAAGGCAGATTCTCTGGCACATAAGAGGCGTCAATATTAGAATCAGACTCTAGCTGACTTTTTATTGTTCTAGTAATTTCTGATTGATGGTTAGTATTTCTACCAATTAACACATTACCGTTAGCTGGTTCCCCCCCCGGGGAAAAAGCGTATTATAGTCTAAGAAAAGAGGGATGGGGCAATCAAATTAGCAAGTGCAATGTTAAGTGATCAATGTAATAAAAAGTAGCACTAAAGTACCACCACTGGTTTGCTTGCTTTGTAAGACTAACTTCCTTTGATAGTGAGAAGAGAGCCATTGAATTTTCAGCCTATATTAAACAAAGATTTCACAAAGTTAATGTGTATCTTGAGAGAGGAGTGCAAGTGCCCTATACTATTGTTTATTACTTGCCGTCTTTTGGGGCTATAATTGTCAATTTGAACTTCATTTTTGCACAAGACATTGCACTACCAAAAGACCCAAGTCCATAATGCTCTGCTAAAACAATCTCTTTATATAGGCTCATGACATATAACAGAAACTAATGAAATTGAACCTTACAAACAGAACTAGTCTCTTATAATATAATAAATTCAAATTTAAATTTTTATTAAAAAAGTATTTATATTTAGAGCCGACAGTGCCTTGACCAAAAATATCATAGATAATTTTTGTTATTGTTTTTTATTTTTTTGCTATATAGTCAACTGATTGAATCATATTCAAATATTGTTGTGCTTAGTTAAATATAACTTTTTCAAAGAAATTTTCTATATTCACATGAATTTTACAACATCCTCAATTATGATATATTTCCATATTTTGGTTATCAGGAACAAAAATTAGAGATTGATCAAAAAGAATGCACAGTGAAATTCCCATCTGCTCTCTAATTGCATGGTAATTTCGATAATAACTAGTGCACTACCTGTGCGATGCATGGGAGTTAAGGTGTCACGGCAGGATCAATTATTTTTTAGAGTACGTAATCGTGAACAACTCATCTATCCCATTATATGATTGTTTTTTCCTATAGACAATAACTTGAATACATGTGGAAGTAATTTAACAAAGTGGACTCCAACGCTGATTTTTTTTTTTTATTGTTTTTGGAAGGAGACAATTAAACTTTACTCCATTAAGGTTAATTAGAATAACTATTGTCGATGACAATAAATTCCAATAGTCAAATACAAATGATATGCAGAAATTTATACATCTAGGGTTTGGAGTCAATAATTCCGAAATAAAGTACGCCCATTAAAAATATTAATTAATGGTCCTCTGCTCCTCTTTATAAATCACGTTTGTTTTATGTAACAACAACAACGACTGAAAATAAAGCCTATGGACAAGTATTGTTCAAGTGGTTGTCCAAAACTGAGAAAGATAATTGATAATATATTGTTTAATTTTACATAAATATACTTAAACCTACTTTAGAAAATTTGGTTTTGCTAAACTAGTATAGTGCATGTGAACAAACAATTGTTTCAAGGGACATTTTTCTCCGTAGCATAATTTTTTTTTTTTAGTTTTCCCCTCTCTCTAGGGGAAATTAGAGAAAAACAAAGATTATATATATATTACTTTTATTTCCTAATTAATTTTCTCCCATTACAAACAAAGCCTTTAGTCTCTGAATAATTTGTAAACAGTTAAAGATTATTTATAGGTCTTTGTGAAAATTCTCTTTTGATGAGAAGAGAAGTGAACCAAAATAAATACACAGACAAATCCATATCCCCAATATAATTTCTTCTCTGAAAGGAGATAATGGGACAGTGAACACAACATTTGTGACTCTTAAACCCCAGTCTTAAGCAACCAGCTAAGAGTGAAGCGTGAGAAGAAAAAGGGTGACGTGGTCTCTCGTTCATTGAAAAAGTAGTAACGTAATCCATTTAACAAGTTTCCTCTTCAAACACGATAACGTGAGAACGTGAAAAACAAAAGTTGCTCTTCCCATTTTCAATTTCAATCCAAACAAGCTAATCAGGGTGCGTGGTGGGTAAGGATTACTTGACTTTTACACGCACATAAAGTCTATTCATAAAAAAACTAATTCCGTTCCCCTTCATTGCTTGTATTTCACTCGGAGACAAATCTTCCTCCTCTAAAGTCTGGTCTTCTTGAAAATCATGTTTAACATTTTTTCCCCTGCCATGTGGACCAATCATATCCGTTTATTGCAGTACACCAAGGGACATGCAAGAAAGTGACTTGCACTTGCCCTGACCTCTACGCTCACTCACCCATAAACCCATATTAATTATTTGTTTCTTTCTATGTTTCGTTGATGTAGCAGATAGAGCTACGCAGGAGCATGCTCCAAGTCTCAGTTAGTCTTTTCCTTATTTGGCTCCTTTTCAAACTGTAGTTTTGCTTCTAGTATTTTTTTTTTCCAAAAAACAAATAATTAATATCTTGAAAAGTTAATCAGCGCAATGTAACAATTGATGACGTGTAACAAATACCATAGAGCATGCTTTTTAGTTGTATAAAAAATATATTTTTTTCAGCAAATATATATTAACAGTTGGATGAATGAATATATATTTTTATTTTACAAGAGGTTTATATGAGTTTGCAAAATAGAGATGATGTTTGTGTAATTAATACATAACAGAAGGGTGGTCAGTGTATTTTACTTTAATAATAATAATATAAAGAAACAATTTATGTACTAGAAAAGCCGTGGTATTTGCCCCCTAACAAGTTTTATGGAGACACTCCTGACTAATTTAAGTTAATTAACTAACCATTTTTCTTAAAATGATGAGAGTGTATGAATGAGATTAATTATTTTCCTTTTAATCTTATGTATTTATTTATTCTAAATAATTATTTAATATATATTTGAGTCAAACAGTGGAAACTATGAGTTAAAAAAGAACTAAAACAAATAAAAGAACTCGAAACATCAACATTCCACTAAATAATTCCATTAACGACTTAAGGAACCAGAGTATAAAACGCTAAAGACTTGAGACAGCGTCTGTCTTTCTTTAATTTCTTCTCTGGTAGCATGAGTTTGAGTGCCTGGAGAACCTTCAGATCCTCACTTCTACATATTTCAATGAGCAATATTCCGTTTTTTTCGTGGCTTCCACTCATATTCTTCCATTGGTTAATTCTGCGGGTGCACGTCTCTGTGGTACGTGGCCAATGTCTTGATGGTGAAGGAACGTTGCTCCTTCAACTGAGGAATGACCTTAGTTATCAGGATTCTCGGACTCTGACATCCTGGAATCAACATCCTCGTTGCTGCGAGTGGGCAGGTATATCCTGTGACAGCAATGGCCATGTTGTTGGTCTTGACTTGAGTGAGCAGGACATCGCCGGTGAGATTAGCAGTTTATTCAATCTGGAATATTTGCAGGATTTGAATTTGGCATATAACAAATTCGATTCTGCTTTTCCATCTGGATTCCACAAGCTCAAAAGCTTGATATATTTAAATTTGTCTGACGCTGCATTCAGGGGGCAGATTCCAATCGGGATTTCTCACTTGACAAAGTTAGTCACTCTTGATCTCTCTTGTTTTTACTGTGATCCGAGACTAGAAATTCCAAGTCTTCAAAACCTTGTACAAAATCTCACAAGTTTGAAGAAACTGTATCTGGATGGTGTAGATTTATCAGCACAAGGACACAAATGGTCGAATGTTGTGTCGTCACTTTTGGGCCTGCAAGAATTGAGCATGCAGGTGTGTGGGCTCTCAGGTCCTATGGATTCTTTGGCAAAGCTTGTGCATCTCTCGGTGATTAGTCTTGACCGCAATGATTTGTCGTCTTCAGTTCCAGAAGCCTTTGCCAACTTTGAAAACCTAACAACCCTGAGCCTTTCTTCTTGCAGCTTGAGAGGAATGTTTCCAAAGAAGATCTTTCAACTAAGAAAGCTGTCCTTTGTTCACATATCAGATAATGAAGATCTTCATGGTTCATTCCCAGACTTTCCATTGAATGGTTCTCTCTGGCGCTTGACAATGACAGGGACAAATTTTTTTAGATCCATACCAAATTCTATAAGTAATTTGAGGCAGTTGTCTGTGTTACATCTTTCTTCATGCCATTTCAATGGAACACTTCCCATCTCTATGTCTGAGTTCACCCAACTTGTTGAACTAGATTTGTCAGATAATAGATTTACGGGCTCGATTCCGTCACTAAATAAGTGCAAGAAACTTGTTCGTGCAATATTCTCGAGTAACAGCTTCGCTGGTCCATTACCATCCACTCACTTTGAAGGCCTTGTAAATCTAGTTGAAATCGATTTAACAAATAATTCCATCAATGGACGGTTCCCTTCATCCATATTTGTGCTTCCATCTGTGCAAGTCATACGAGTTTCTGATAGAGCTCATGATTTTACTAAGACCTATAAGAGAAAATCAAGGAAGGCAAGAGGTTAAAAGATAACATTATTGTTGGTTCAGATGTTTGCCCTTCGGATCCTGGTTATGAGGGGAAAAAAGAAAGTAATTGATGGCCTAGTGATGTGCTAGAGTCCTAGTGATGGTTAAGGGTTTTCTAGGGGTAAGGGCTGTGCTAGAGTCACTTTTTAGGTCTTTAAATCTTCCTCTTTGCCTAGAGAGAGGGGGAGATTATTTTTGAATATTGAGAGTGGTAAGGAGGGCTCTGGCCTCTCGAATGTCAGGTTGGGGTGGAGGAAGTCATCTTTCTTCATCATTTTATCTTCTGCTAGTGTGTGTATGTAAGTGAGTGACTTATATTTTATGATTGTTGTTTGGTGGAGTATATTCTGTGCTGTTTTTGTTTCAGTACGTTGTAATTTTCAGTTCCTTATTTCGCTGTAATCCAACTTTGCTATTCGGTATTAGTAATTTTCAGTCCCATTTGTGGTGTAGTTTCTGGTTTATGCTTGTTTAAAGCTTATTAGAATAGAGGGTTCCATCATTTGGTATCAGAGCGGTTGATCCGAGGGAGAGAAAGAGGGTGGAAAAAAGGCATGGCAAACTTACTAGAAGAACTCGTAGTTACAGCAGCTATGATGTCAGAATTGTTGAAGAGTGTGGGGAAAAAAACAGAGGAAATGCAGAAGAAATTAGAGAAGTGCACAAAGATTTTAGACAGAATGGAGATGCGTGCTGAAATGGAGAAGAAATCAGAGGTGAACATGGAAAATGAAGATGCTGTAAGTGAGAAAGAAGAGAAGAAACCAGTTGAGCAAGAAACAGAGGGAGTTATAAAAAAGATACCGGAGGTTGAAGAAGGGAGAGAGAAAGAGCCTTTTGAACAACAGTTAAAAGTGTCACCGTTTTTAAGAGAAGGAAAGTTTGAAGCAGATTCTGGTATCAACCCAAAAGAGATGAAACCCAAACCTTCTCAATCCTTGCAAGCTGTCAAATTAGCACCAAGCAGTCCCAAAATCAAAGTCCAGCAGATAAATGTTAATGGGGCAGAAGCGACTAAGGAGAAGAAGCAAAATTATAATGTTGAGAAGACTGCAAAACGCTGGAGAGAATATGAGCAACGAAGAGACAGGTTGAAGGCAGAAGAGGCTGACGGCAAAAAGAAGGGAAAGTGGAGGCTGGATAGGGTTAGGTTAATTACTTATTGTAGAAGCCCAATACTAAATGATGGTAATTCTTTTGGGCCTAAAAGCTTTTTAATTTATGAAAGGAGAATGAACCAGCCGCATACAACATTCAATTCCTCATTTAAGAAGCAACTAATGGACTTGGGCCTTAAAGGGGAGAAGAGAAACCTAATCCTTCGAGAAGCTAGGGTTGCAACGCTGCGTTCTGCATCAGAGAAGGGGTTTTCACTTTATATTATATTTTTGCGCCAGACGCTTGCTGTGGCTCACATTCTAAACGCTCAACAGGCCAAAGAAGAGCAAAAATTCTCCCACAAACATACAAAAACAGTGGGAAGCGACACCATTCCAGATGCTCTTTGTGTTGGCTGGCACCAAAGGCTACTGTTCCTGGCTCCAACTATTACAGAAGTTAACATACTGTATGTGGCAGCTTCACAAATTCACATAACTATCAAGAAGAATGAATATGTTGCTCGTCTGACCCAAAAGGCTGGTGCAAAGTTGGGCATAAGGGATGATACCAATGTCAGGTATGACTACAGTATACAATTTGAGGCTGTCATCCTACTTCAGTTTTCCAGTGGGTTCCAAGCTACACCATTCTTCATAATATTCTTGTCAGCAATTATTGCCAGAATTTTTGTTACCTATTACTGGGATGGTTTGAAAACAACTTTTGGAATTCTTGTCACCTTAACATTCTTCTCCATTAAGAGGTTCATGTGTTGCAACTCGGAGTCTATAGCTATTGGTTCTTTGAGTATATCATTTGAAAAATCAGTCGAATTTTTGCTTGCATCTCTTCTCTTAAAGCAGAAATCCAGTCACCCATTGGACGACGATGTATGTGGGGTTGTACTTTTATCTCCTCAATATCATCTGAGGGCTTCAGTTATCATCCCAGAATTGATCACGTGTGACATCAAAATGTTTGGGGATGTCACTTTGTTGTTTGGAAAATTTTGTCTTAGCTCATTGGATGCTGTGTTTAAATTTTTTAGATCAACGGTCAACACTCACAGATACATTTCTGCACACAGCAACAATTCAGTGGAGATACAGAGCAAAATGCAGCTTCAGACCAGTACCGAGAAAAATGTGAAACTGGAACTGAAGATTTTGGGCATGTTGATAAATGTGCAGGTTCAGGCTGCAGGTGTGGAGGATGGATTTGGGGAAGCAAAACAAACTAAACTCAAGATCAAGGGGGAGTTGTTGATCAGTAATTTTCTTGTCTACAATATAAAACCCACAAGAGATGGGGCTGAGTTCCCCAGCAACACTTCTTCATTCTCAATGAGAGGAGATGAAAATTCCCAAGAGACCACAGTACTAGACTTCACTGAAATAGGGGAAAAAAGTTTTGGTTTTTGTTCTGCTAAGAAAATTAGAACGGCTTATACTAAGCATGACAAGAAGCTCAGACTTTTCTCAGGAGCAAGAGAAGTAAATGAAGAAAATAGAGGTGAAATGTCTACTAACCCAAGTATTCTGTCTCCTGGTTCTGTTGTTGCTGGAAAACAGTTTAAATCTATTTTTTCATCCAATATGCGTTATGATGCTCGGTTCTCTGGCATGAAAGTTGAAGATTATTACAAGGGATTGAAGAAGGATGTCAAGATTATTGAAGCAGTTCAGTTGGAAGATTTTCTGGTATGGGCAAACTTGTTTTCATACCAACAGATGTTCATACCAACTGCTGTTTATGCTTCTCACCTTGAGGACAAGGTGAAACTTCAAGGGGAGGGTAATGATAGAGCTCATGATTTTACTAAGACTTATAAGAGAAAATCAAGGAAGGCAAGAGGTTAAAAGATAACATTATTGTTGGTTCAGATGTTTGCCCTTCGGATCCTGGTTATGAGGGGAAAAAAGAAAGTAATTGATGGCCTAGTGATGTGCTAGAGTCCTAGTGATGGTTAAGGGTTTTCTAGGGGTAAGGGCTGTGCTAGAGTCACTTTTTAGGTCTTTAAATCTTCCTCTTTGCCTAGAGAGAGGGGGAGATTATTTTTGAATATTGAGAGTGGTAAGGAGGGCTCTGGCCTCTCGAATGTCAGGTTGGGGGTGGAGGAAGTCATCTTTCTTCATCATTTTATCTTCTGCTAGTGTGTATATGTAAGTGAGTGACTTATATTTTGTGATTGTTGTTTGGTGGAGTATATTCTGTGCTGTTTCTATTTCAGTACGTTCTAATTTTCAGTTCCTTATTTCACTGTAATCCAACTTTGCTATTCGGTATTAGTAATTTTCAGTCCCATTTGTGGTGTAGTTTCTGGTTTATGCTTGTTTAAAGCTTATTAGAATAGAGGGTTCCATCAGTTTCACACAACCGATTTGATGGCCAGCTGGATGGATTTACTTCCTCCTCAATAATAGACACACTTGACTTGAGAAACAATGATTTTGAAGGACCCATTCCTCAATCTTTGTTTCAACTTGAACGACTCCATGAACTCCTACTGTCATTCAACAGGTTCAGTGGCATAGTAGACCTCAATATGATTAGAAAGCTGGGTAACCTTGCTTTACTTGAACTTTCATACAACAGCTTATCGGTAATTGATTCAAATATTACCTTCCCACCTTTCCCTTATCTAATCAGATGAGCTTTGGCTTCTTGCCAATTGACCTCATTTCCAGAATTTTTGAAAAATCAATCAACATTAGAGGTTCTTGACATATCAAGTAACTATCTCGTTGGCACAATTCCCCGTTGGCTTTCGAATAACATTGATCTTAGCACTTTAAACCTCTCAAATAACCATTTGACTGATTGTGAAGAGCCTGTGCTGAATAACATGTCCATTGCTAGACTTGATCTTCATTCTAATTTTCTCCGAGGATCATTTTCAATTTTTCCAGAGACTCTACACTTCTTAGATGGTTTCAATAACAAGTTCAGCTCTTTTATTCCACCACACGTTGGCAATTTTTCACAACTACTCTATTTTTCGCTTTCAAGCAATAATTTTCATGGGAATGTCCCAAAATCTTTATGCAATGTTCCATACCTTCAAATTCTTGACCTCTCTAGTAATTATTTAACTGGCACAATTCCTAAATGCTTGATTGCAAAGAATGGAACTCTTTCCGTACTAAGTTTAAGGGGGAACAACTAACAGGCATCATTGAGTCATTTCCTGGCTCGTGTGACTTGAGAACTCTAGATTTGAATGGGAATTTCCTACAAGGAAAGCTGCCAAAATGTCTAAGTAATTGTGCCATGCTAGAGATCTTAGACGTTGGGAGCAACAAGATTAACGATGAGTTCCCATGTTGGTTGAAGAGCATACCCACTTTGCATGTTGTTGTTCTGCGGTCCAACAGATTTCATGGCTCCCTTGAATGTCCAGGAACCCAAATAGCTTGGCCTCACCTTCAGATTGTTGACTTAGCACACAACAGTTTTAGCGGCAAAATTCCACCTGCATTCTTGATAGCATTGAAGGTAATGCCAGGTGGAGAAAATGACGGGAAACTGTTGAAGACGGATCCACTTCAATTTGAACTCGATGAGGATTATATTGATCATTATTACCGAGATGAAGTGAACGTCACGAGCAAAAATCTAGAGATGGAGTTGGTAAAGATCCAAAATATCTTTACCTCCATTGATCTCTCAAGCAACAAATTTGAAGGGCCAATACCCGTAGTGCTTGGACAGTTAAGGGCATTATACATACTTAACTTGTCCCGCAACGCTTTGTCAGGCAAAATGCCATCATCTTTCGGAACTCTTAAACTGCTTGAGTCATTGGACCTATCAAACAATTCTTTGTCAGGGGAAATTCCAAAGCAGATGGCAAATCTGTCTTTCCTTGCATTCTTGAACCTCTCATATAATCATCTAACGGGGAGAATCCCAGCAAGTACTCAGATTCAATCATTCGAAGCATCTTCGTTCATAGGTAATGACGGATTATGCGGACCTCCATTGACCCCAAATTGCAGCAACGATGAAAGACCAGGGGTTTCCCAATCACCAATCAAGAAGTCCCACTCTGAGAGTTCAATTGATTGGAATTTCATAAGCGCTGAATTGGGATTTGTTTTTGGGATTGTGATTGTTCTTTTGCCGCTAGCTTTTTGGAAGGCCTGGAGAATATGGTACTGGCAACACGTGGATGACTTGCTTTATAGGATCTTCCCGCTCTGGATTTTGTGTACGAATGCCGTGGAGGGACAAATTACAGAACCCTAAGGTGGATGTCTCATTAATCCTCATTTGTGGCTTACTTTCATCATCTCCTAATATCATGCTACTTTGTAGAATATATAAGGCCAGCAATAACAAGTTATGATACTAATTCTATGCTTGGTAAGTGGAAAGGTATATTTAAAAATATAATAATAATAAGAGTGCACCTATTTTATTTTTAAGATACATTTTTCATTTTTTTCATTAAGAAATATTTTTCTATTTACTAAATATGTAGTAAATGTGGTCTAGTATGTCTTTTCCGTTATTTAATCAATGTTGTTTTATTTAATTTCCGTTCAATTTCAGAATAAGTAGTCTGCTGATGAAATTGCATGCACATGTGTGTGTGGAAATATGTAGCATCATTCATATGGTACATACAATGTGACTTTATCAGTAGAGCTCAGATTCTAAATTGATCCTTATCACAAATGTTTAAAAGATGTTGAATAGTGTTGCGCATCTCTCCTATACCAAAGATGACTTGTTTTGCCCAATCTATCTCCAATCCAAATAAATCTTCTTGGTTAATATGGAGGGCTAGAATAACAGGCAAATCCATAGTTAGAATGACGTGCTAGCTGTTCTGTTAGCTTAAAGCACTTATGCACTCTCATTCCGTTGCCTTGGTTTTGTTCATATGGTAGTCTTTCTTGGCCGCAATGAAATTTCCCTTTTTGCCAAAAAAAAAAATTACATGGTAAACTTAATTCTATGAGTAGGACTAGAAATTCAAAAAAGAATAAATGGGTGAAATTAACAATAAAATTAGAAAGCGCAGGGTTAAATCAAAGTGACAAAATGAGACGGTTAAAGAGCTGTATGAGTCCAACGCTGTAGGCGTGGCAACAAAATAAACTTCGAGGAGGAGGTATTTTGTGCATTTCATTTTTAGCAGTGGCCAAAAATTTTTGCTTAGAAAATCAACTCAAGCTCCCTGAGCAGAATGGATCCCCTTTTTTTTTTTTTTGGCCAGTTGACCGCTGCAACTAATTTTGGATTTTTTTTTCAAATATGCTTTTTAAAAAAGAATGTTTAACTTTGGATGCACGGTTCAGGTCACCAAAAAAAGGATATTTAAGAACCTTTTAGAAATATTAATTATAATTAAGAATCCTAAAATTATTTTTTTAAAAAAAAGGTCCTCGGTTGGATGTTTTTTGGGATTGAATTTGTTAGTACTTTTACATCTTTTTTTTTTTGATAAAATAGTACTTTTACATTTTTAATAGTTATTTTCAGCATTTTCAGCACTCAATTTTTATAATAGTCACTTTAAACGTTTTCAATACCCATCCCTCATGATTTCGACACTAAAAAGAATTAAAAGTAAGTATTTTTTAATATTGAAAATATAAAAGACAAACATTGAAAACATTCAAGATGACCACCAAAAAATTAAGTATTAAAAATGTGAAATATGAAGACTAAAAATATGAAAGATAAGTACAGAAAAAGTTAACTCAAAAATATTTTAATTCTAGTGAAATACTAGGATCCTTTTAAAAAAATTAAAATTTTAAAATTCTTAACTGTAATTAATATTTGTAGAGAATCCTTAAATATTATTCTAAAAGAAACTAGTGGTGCTCGGCCCCATGCGAATACATAACTACTGTTGACTTGGTACCATTTTGTGCTGGCTATGTTGGGCCAGGCTTTGCTAGGCCACTAGTTGGTCCACAAAGAATTTAAAAATATAAAAATAAAAATAATTAATATTTTTCTAGTCATCAATCAATGAACTTTTCACCCTTTTTTTTGGGAAACCTCAATCAATAAAAATGAAGTGTTTGACTTCGGACATAGCCAGTTTGGGGGGAAAAAAGTAGGTGGCTCTGACACCAACTTTTCTCGTGAAGACCAGCATGGCTTTCAGGGTACTTGAATTTCAAATATAGTGTATTGAGTTTTGCCTTCATTGCTTGTATCTCACTTCGTACACTAGTCTTCTTTTTGTTTTCTTCGCTGATTTTTGTTGTGTCAGGTGCCGTATTTCACTGCCCGGACTAGTCAACTTCTTCATATTCCAAACTTTAATCTCAAGCCATGAAAGTAAAGGGTGATCTGTTTAGTTCATGAAGAAATAGGTGTGTAGAAGAATATTGGTGTGACGTTAGCCATATATGTACATGTTAAGTTTGAAGGAGACTATAACGGTTGTTAACACTGCCCATCGAGACCGACATGACTTCTAATACTTTTGAAGTTCACATATGTGGCTTTTTGCAGTCCTTGCTTCCATCTCAGTACATAGACTCTGAATACTTTTGTCGTCTTTATTGATTTCTCCTGTTCCAAATATTAAGTTCCCCCTTAATTTGTGGCGTGTCCCCAGGGAACTGCCAAAAATGGATGAGAATGGGCACACATGAAACAAAAAAAAAAAAATTGTAAAGGATCTCAATTTGGTGTGCTTAGAAGTGCTTCATATGTGTGCATTTTTAATTATTCTCAGTTGATATATTATATACATGTTATTTTTCATCTTTTACATATCTTTGCCTCTTTAATATTAAAGAAAAAGTACATTATGAGCTTCTCTAAAGAAATGCATATATATGAGTCATTATTTTAAGGTCAAACAGCTTCCATGGCCCTCTTGAATGCCCGCAAAATATTGGAAATTGGGAGACTCTCCAAATTGTTGATCTAGCCTCCAATCATTTCAACGGTACAATACCAAGATCACTCCTACAAAGTTGAGGAGCTCTTATACTTGGTGGTGAAGTTAGTTCAAAATTTGGGCTTTTGTTTTTTGACATTTTTGATCATATTAGTCCTGTAGATTGTTTTAGTGCATTGCACTCTATTGTGAATAAAAATATAGCACCTAGATTAGATAGACCTGTAAGAGGCAAAACACCTGTTGTAGTCAACCACTTATTCTATGATTTCTATGCCGAAGATATCAAGATTCAATAACAATTGTCAACAAAGGGAGAGAAATAAAGTTTGTGAAGATTCTCATTGCCTTCATTTCATTGGATTTCTCATCTAACCATTTGAAAGGCCAATACTAGAAGAGCTTATGAGTTTCAAAGCATTCCATGGTCTTAACTTGTCACAAAATGCTTTCTCAAGCTATATCTCTTCATCCATAGAGAATCTAAAATAGCTTGAGTCATTGGACTTGTTAATGAACTATTTTAATGAAAATATTCTAACAGAGCTTGCAAGTTTGTCTTTCCTTATAGTTCTAAACTTTTTTTTCAATCATTTGATGAGACTAATCTCAATTGGCACTCAAATCCAGTCATTTGAAGTGGATTCATTTGAAGATAATAAAGCACTATGTGGACCACCAATGACACATAATTGCAATTTTGGTACAATTTTTGGATTACCATCACATTCTAAAAGTTTCATTGATTGGAATTTTTTGAGTGTTGAATTGGGATTTACTTTTCTCCTTAGAATTGTAATCTTGCCCCTTATTTTTTGGAGACAATGGAGGCTACAGTACTTCAATTGTGTGAACAACATGCTTTGGAAGATGATACCTCAGCTTGATTTTGTGTATGAACACCATGGAAGGAAAACTTACAGACCTTTGAAGTGGAAGCCTTTCTGAATTAAATTAAAGTAAAAGAATGCTAGTATGTATTTTCACTTGCCTTGAACCTTTTGACTCAATGACACCTCATTTCCCTATGAAAGAAGGAGCTTGAAGGTTCTATATCATATGCGTGTTACTTTTCCCCTCAAGGAAAGGAGTAGGTGTGTAGTTGTGTGTGGATATTTGTATTTGATCCAAAATCAAGCATATATGTACTCTTTCTTTTCTTTTTTTGGGAATGTTTCTTCATCTTTCTTTGTGTTTGATGTGTAAAATATCATAATATTGCTAGCTAGCTTCCTCGACCTTGGCAAGAAGCCATGACTTCTAAAATAAGAATTTAAAAAAAAAAAAAACCATGGCTTTTCCTTCTCTTGCTGTTCAATAACCTTCCTCTTCTTTTAAAGTTTTAGACAATTTAAGTTACGGGTAAGCAATAGCTTAGATTGATTTGGTTTGGCTTTCCAAACACGAAGAGTGCCAAATTACAAAGCGGCAATAAAATTGTTAATATTCTATATTTTAAAATATTGTTAATATTCTTCTCAAATTTAATTAACTTGGAGGAAAGCTTTCAACGAAATTGTTTAGTATGCCATTGTGCCTATCTATAATTGTATCTGTGTGTGTGTGTGTGTAGCCAGCAATTTTATATTGATATCCAAGAAGTCCAAATAATTACTGAAAACTTATAGCAAGAAATTAAAATCTAAGTCCAAATAATTACTAAATTCTGAAAACTTATAGAAAGAAATTAAAATAAACTAAATTTAGAGTCATAAAAGGAACAAAAAGTTAATTAAGATTATAAATAATTAACATTTAAAATTATCATTGTTTTTAAATAATTAAGATTTAACTTAAGTAAAAATTTTGTCTCAAGTCACTAATCTTTCCAAATCTGTTGCTGCGAAAGGAAGCACCTCAAAAAAAAAAAAAAAAAACCATTGGATTAAATGGAAAAGAATAAATGGTCATGATTTTTATAGGATAATTACTTCGGTTTAGAAACCAGGAGGGGATTTTGACCCTTTTATTTTGGTTGAGTTAGCTTGTAATTTTGGCATACAAGGTACCTGGATTCCACGTCGACTTTGGACAAGATATCTATAATTAATTAAAAGGCTTGTTTGATTTTTATTTTCAAAAAATGTTTTTTTGAAAAATAAAAAAAATTCAAGTAAATGTTTTGAATTTAAATATTTCATAATTGTTTTTTTTATTTTTAAAACACATTATATTTGACTATTATAAATTAATTTGAGTTATCATAAATTATTATCATAGACCATCACCATTAACCTTTGATGACCATTATTATTGAACTTTTTTTAACTCAAATATTTTAATTTGTTTTGAGAAACAATTTTTAAAATTTCACTCACAAAATAATTTTAAAAAATAAAAAATGAGAATAAAATCAGACAAGCCATTAGATTTTTGTTACCTTCACTTCTTTAGATTTCCCATCCAACCATATTGATGGTTAAATAGTCAATACTCTATTAAGATCCTTGAACTTCAATGCTCTTAACTTACCACAAATGCTTTTTCAAGCCGTGAAGTTGCTTTTACTTTTTCGAAGTTCTTTATAGATCAATTGCTTGATGCTCTTGCTTTAAATGCTTATAGTATAAATCACAATTCATGGTGAAATATTTTTATTCTTTTACTTTTCCCACATGCTTAAAAAGACTTGCACAACTGTATTTTTGTTTTTCTATTTCTTCACATATTTTAATAGGGTTTAAATGTTAAAGTGAGCCTAAATTTTCACAAGACTAAATTTAATATATCCGTACGTCATCCTGGAAAAAAATAATTTTTTTTAATTAAAAAGCCACAGTTAAACTATGTTAATTGATAAGCTGATTTTTATCAACATACAAAAAATTACAACAATCAAATCATGGGGTAACAAAAATAAGAACATATAAATTGTTGGTAGGGGTTTGATAAGATAATCAATCTGCACATGCTTGATGAGATAATCAATCTGCATATTTATTTGTCTTCTTGAAAACATGATCAAACATGATTTTCCAGTGATAAGGTCTCTGATTTTATTGATAGTTTTGAAAAATGGGTGATTCTAACAAATAATTAAAAAATTAATTAATTTTAATTCACTTGATTCTAAATTTTGCGTCACTTGAGAGGTGTTTTGTTTTCTTTCAACATTCAATTCATTCCTCATTGAAGATGGTCATTTTGTCTTTTCTAACTTTCTTAAATATATCACTACTTGTTGGTAATCATTTTTAAAAAGTGATGTAAACATGTAAAATATGTGAAAAAATAATTCATACTTAAAATATATGTACAAATTTTATTGAATAGAAAGCTATTTTTGGACATTTTGATCTAAGTATAAATTCCATAATTAAAATATTCAATTTGAATGTTTTAATTTAAGATACGTATAACTGATATTACTAATTCGTTCCAATGTGAATAACATTGGACCTTGGATACAAAGTACTATATTTGATCTAAAATATAAGCATTTTTTTAACAAATTTTGGTCCAATTAAAAAACTTAATATTTGTAAAAAAAATCATTTTACCCCGTATATTCATTAATTTAAATTTTTATATTTGTGAATTTATGACATTTTTTACTTATTATAAATCAAAACTAAAAATAAAAAAGAAAATAATATATAATTTTTTATGGAAATAAAAATTTTATTAATACATAGATTATTATTAAAAGGTATTTATATTTTATATTGAGACTGAGTACTTTCTCATTTTTAGCCAAAATATTGAAATTCAAAATCTGGCTATTTGATTTTGACCCAATACCTTTTTAGACTGTTGAAAATATCCTGGCAAAAAGCTTATTTCGAATTTTGGAAACACCAACAGGAGATTGAGCGTTGCATCTGAAAATGAAAACGATATTAGTTTTTCTTTTCTTTCCTTTTCTTCTGAGTATAAATGCTATTTTTTTCCTTATTACTCACATATATTTTTTATTAGAAATAATTTCATTTAAAACGCAATCGAGCCAAATATAGACACTTTTTTTTTTTTACAAAAATTCGAACATTATCATATTATAAACAACTAGCTACCCGCAACACCCCATCCCAGTTAATGTTCAAAAGGTTAACTAGTACTGTACGACCGAGCGTTTCCCATGCCCACCAGTCACCACAACGAAACGTCAGACATCACTCTTCTCCCGCAAAACTCAATTTTGTCAACTGCATTAACTGTTTGCACCTAAAACGGTTAAACCCTTCGATCTCCCCCCCCCCACCCCCTAAAACCCCACAGAAATATAAAAATCATCAAATCACATCATTTGCGGCAAGTTTTTTTAACAAAAAAGAAAAACTTTTCAACGTTGCAAATTTTTTAAGTGACCTCCCTCAATGGTTTTTTGCCTGTTTGACGAAGCACGTTAATAACAGCAGAAAAGTTCGGTCTAGTATTGTCACTACTATTACGCCTATGATTTCTTTTCTTAAAAAAAAAAAGTAGGTTAAAACTTGCTTTATGCTAAATGGATCATGCCTAATTTATGGATGGCAACCGTTCAAACTGTTGAACAGTCTAAAATTTTGGTAGTGTCCCATTTCAGAAGCTGCCCGTAAGTCTTCGGAAAATGACAAGGCCGACGTTGAAACGCGTATAAGGCAATAATTTGCAAGCAACTTGACGCCTTCTGCTTTTGTTTTTCTCTATCCAACGGAGTGATGAACATGGTTTTGCTCTGACCGCGCTTCACATCAGGCTCTCAGTGTTTGACCATTCCGTTCTCTTCCCAATTTCCCATCTCTCTCTCTCTCTCCGCATTTCTTTTGCAACACTTGAACCACCTTCTTTCAGCGTTGTGAGTCGAACACTGAAGCACGGACCTGGGAGGCGTTTTTTCATGGGTCCTGAGATCCCATGAGATCGCTGTTTGATCCATCGTTTAAACTTTGGTCTTTGGTTGTATGGGTGTCCGACATTACACAATTCAATGAGAATTCGTTTAGTTCCATGGCTTTCCTTCATACTCTGCTTCTTCTGGATGTTGCTCAATTTCAACATCTATGTGGCATCAAGCCGATGTCTTAGGGACCAGCAATCTCTTCTCCTCCAATTGAAGAACAGCCTCAATTTTAGCAAATCAAGTTCCATCAAACTGGTGTCTTGGGGTGAAAGCCCGTCCTGCTGTGATTGGAGCGGTATCGATTGCGATGAGCAAGGACGTGTTATTGGCCTTGATTTGAGTGCAGAATCGATCTCTGGTGGTTTTGACGGTTCAAGCAGCATTTTCAGTCTCCAGTATCTTCAGATGTTAAATTTGGCATCTAACAATTTCGATTCTGTAATTCCGAGCGAGCTCTACAAATTGAAGAACTTGAACTACCTGAATTTGTCATATGCTGGCTTTGTGGGGCAGATACCAAAAGGGATTTCTCAACTGACTGGGTTAGTTGTTCTGGATATCTCGTCCCTTTCATATTATTTAACGGGGAAAGAGCTAAAACTTGAGAATCCGAATTTGAGAATGCTTACTCAGAATCTTACCAGCATTAGAAAATTGTATCTAGATGGTGTAACCATATCAGCTCAGGGACGAGAATGGGGCAATGCTCTGTCATCACTCTCAAGTCTGCAAGAGTTGAGCGTCTCAAACTGCAATCTTTCAGGTCCCATTGATTTTTCCCTATCTAGGCTGAAGCTCCTCTCGGTAATTCGCCTTGATGAGAACAATTTGTCAGCCACAATGCCAGACTTCTTCGGTAATTTTTCAAATCTGACAAGATTGCACCTTAGCTCTTGCGGGTTGAGTGGAAGATTTCCGCTAAATGTTTTCCTGGTAAAAAAATTGACCTTCATTGATATATCTTATAATACTGGTCTTAGTGGTTCTTTCCCAAATTTCACATTGAATGGATCTCTCCAGACCTTGATAGTGAGTCACACAAATTTTTCCGGGAGGCTTCCGGATTCTATAAGTAACATGAGGAACCTATCCACGTTAGATCTCTCAAATTCTCAATTTTCTGGACGACTTCCAAGTTCAATCTCAAAACTGACTGAACTCACTTATCTGGACTTGTCATTGAACAGCTTCATAGGTCCAATTCCGTCATTTGCTACTGCCAAGAAACTCACTTACATGGACCTTTCTGATAATTTTCTAAGTGGCGAAATTTCATCATCGGGTGGATTTGAAGGACCGCAAAATCTAGCCAGCATTAAATTGCGTAATAATTCTATCAATGGCAGCATTCCTACCTCTCTTTTTGCTCTCCCATCTCTGCGAATCATTCTGCTTTCCAACAACAAATTCAGTCAATTGGATGAGTTCTTCAACGTGTCTTCCTCTGTACTTAACACCCTTGATTTAAGCAGCAATAATTTATCAGGTCCTGTTCCAAAGTCTATCTTCCAACTGAAAGGACTTTCCATTCTCCAACTTTCCTCAAACAAGTTCAGCGGGCCAATGCTGCTAGATGCGATCACAGAGCTCAGAAATTTGACTACACTAGACCTTTCATACAATAATCTGTCAGTCAACATGAATGCGTCTGATTCTAACATGTCTTCGGTTTTCAATATGACCAATCTAAAATTGGCTTATTGCAACCTGGAGACTTTCCCTGATTTCTTGAGACGACAGTCCAGATTAACTATGCTGGACCTTTCAGATAACCGAATTCGAGGTAGGATACCGAACTGGATTTGGCAACTTGAAAGTCTCAGTTACCTTAATCTTTCTCACAATTTGTTGACTGATATTGAAAGGCCATTGCAGAATCTTAGTTCCAATTTGATACTCCTTGACCTTCATTACAACAAACTCCAAGGTCCAATTCCCTTTTTCCCAAAAAACGCTTCCTATTTGGATTACTCATCCAATAATTTCAGCTCTATTATCCCGGCTGATATAAGCGATAACCCGGCTTTCACAATTTTCCTATCTCTATCAAATAATTCTTTTCAAGGCAGCATTCCTAATTTCTGCAATTTTTCAAGTCTTCAAGTGCTTGATCTTTCGTTCAATCACTTTTCTGGTACAATTCCTTCATGTTTAATGGCAATGAGTGACACCCTTGCCATCCTAACTCTGCGGAAAAATAATCTCACAGGAGTCATACCTGACAAGTTTCCAGCTCTGTGTGCTTTAAGGACTCTGGATCTCAATGGAAATCAATTAGATGGACCAATGCCAAAGTCTCTTGAAAATTGCGGGACATTAGAGGTGTTAGACCTGGGAAACAATCATATTATGGATGGATTTCCATGTTCATTGAAGAATATTTCCACACTTCGGGTCCTGGTCTTGCGAAACAATCGTTTCCATGGTTCCATTGGATGCCCGAACACCAACGATACCTGGCAGACGCTTCAAATTGTTGATTTAGCTTTCAACAATTTTTTGGGTGAACTACCAGGAAAATCCCTCACAACATGGAAAGGAATGATGCCGGAAAAAGCACAAACCCTACAGTATGAGATCCTTAAATATGGTGATATTTACTATCAGGATAGAGTGATTGTTACCAGCAAAGGTCAACAGATGAAGTGGTTTAAAATTCTAACTGTCTTCACTGCCGTTGACCTCTCATCCAACCATCTCGAAGGACCAATACCAGAAGAGATGATGAATTTTGAAGCACTATATATTCTGAACTTGTCCAATAATGCTCTCACTGGCCAGATACCATCATCTATTGGGAATTTGAGAAAGCTTGAGTCCTTGGACTTGTCAAACAATTCTTTGAGTGGGAAGATTCCAATGCAAATTGCAAGTTTATCTTTCCTTTCATTCTTGAACCTCTCTCTTAATCAACTGGCGGGGATGATTCCTTTGGGCACCCAAATTCAATCATTTGATGCATCTTCCTTCGGTGGTAATAAAGGATTATGTGGACCTCCTTTGACTACAAACTGTACTAGTCCAAAATTGAATACTAGAAATGCAGTGGCTGAATTTGATTGGGATTTTGTATTCACTGGAGTAGGCTTTGGGGTGGGAGCGGGATCGGTTGTTGCCCCACTGATGTTTTGGGAGAGAGCAAGGAAATGGAGCAACAACAGAATTCATAAGATCCTCCTTGTAATATTTCCCATGGTTGGATTGACTTACATACCTTCTGATGATTATTACGACGAGGAGGAGGAAGAAGCAGAAGAGAATTCAGATGAGATAGAGGACTGTGATGACTATGACTATGAAGATGAATCGGGTATTCCAAGGTTTAGAGGAAGGTATTGTGTTTTCTGTTCCAAGCTCGACATAAGTAGGAAGAAGGCTATTCATAACCCGAGGTGTACATGCCACCATTCACCAACAGTCTCAACATTTTCTGTTTCTTGGGCTTCTCCTTCCTCTCAGTCGCATCTGAGATGAAAAAGAAAAAAGAAAAAAAAGAAAGAAAATGCTTTCCCCTTTATTCAATTGTGATCCTTTTTTTTTTCCTGAATACATGTTACATGCATGTACATGATGTACATACACTCACAAACACAATCCAAATAGCAATAACGCATCTCTGATTTATTGAAGGTGGTTTTTGTGGTACTACTCAGTGACCAGCAAATAAATGGATCAATGCTTTGTGTAGGAACTTGGGGTTTCAATTCCTTTTATTCACACACGAGTTGAAACCGTTCTCCCCTTTTTCTTGTCTTCTCTTTTTCTTTCTGTACACGGACACGTAGATGTATATGTTGTACGTACGCACAGAAAATCATCCTAAAATTGACAACCGTCAATGACTAAAAGCAACAAATCCCTACTGATTAGCGAAGGCGGTTCCTGTAATACTCACTGGTCAGAAAATTTATAAAACAACCACTATGCTCATTCCGAACTTTCATCGAACACTTGAAGAGCCCTATTCAGTTCAACAACTCAACTCATATATTTAATGTATATCTCAAGCGTAATTCGACGTGCATCGTCAACAATTGCACAGGGACGGGCGTATGGAGCAACGGGGAAAAATACCTTTGATTGACGTCCAACAAAACAATGACTGGAACTCTGGAAGCAATATTCACTTTTTTCTTGAAGCGGTTCTTGTGATACTCCCTGATCTTAACCACAAAAAGTGATACTCCCTGATCAGCTATAATTTTTTTTTTTTTGGTTACCATTGATCAGGAAATTCATGAAACCATGACAAAGGATCATCAATAAAAAATTATTCGAAGAGTTTGTCATTTTGCATTTTTTTTTTTGGTCCATCACGAACTTATTGTATGAACGTGGCAGATGGTGAGAAGTTGGGCTTTAAAAAAAAAATGATTGGATCATTGATGTGGGTGCCACTATGTATTACAATAAAATAGGCTTTTTCACCAACATGCTGCAAACAGTAAAAAAAATCATTGAAATACAGCATCGTAAAAAAAAATATTCAACCAAATATTACATTGAAAATTGTTCATACTGGTTGACCGATTTCAACTTTTTTATTGATGTGATATTTTATTTACTGTTAACTATGAGGATCTCTGCTTTTCCTTCTTGCTTTACTTTTCCTGCATGATTTATTTAAGCATGAGATAGATAGTCACTTATTATTGTTAATGCTCTTCCAGCACTTAAAGAGTTCGATAAAACATCTAAGTACATGCAATGATATTAAATATATACCCAACAATGAATCCAACATATTAGTAGTAATACTAAGTATGTGGTAGGTTTTTCATCTAGTATCATCTTTTTCTTTATAAAAAATTATTATAATGTAATAATGTCTTATTATTTATTTTAGGCTAACATAACAGAGGATTTATACAGGTTAATAATTAATTCTCATTCAAAATGCTCTCATTACATTGACTATCGAGATAGGGTTGTTCACGACCAACGCAATATCTTACTTGTAATGAGAGAACAATTTAATAAGAACCCTCAACATACTCTACCAAAAGTTGAGTTGTCTCATCTATAAATTTATCAAGATGGACTCAGCAAGTGATGTGGTAGCTATTTATCTACTCAACCAGCAATTGAAAATGAAAATATAGGGAAGCAAGGGCCTCAAAATTTTAATCAATCTTATTACATGCTAACCTATCATTATCATCACCGCTTTTCATCTCTCCCAATCCTATTCAATTTGAGCCTCATTATATTCCACCCTCATCATCATTACTTTTTAACTCACCCACTCCTACTCAATGGCACTAGTGAAAGTAGGTGAAAAACTTACTGCATACCCAATATCACTGCTAATACGTTGGATCCATTGTTAGATATGTCTTCAATACCATTACAGGTACTTAGATGTTCTGTCAAACTCTTTAAGTGTTGGAAAAGCATTAACAATAAGTGGCCATCTATCTCATACTTAAATGAATCATGCGGGAAAAATAAAGCAAGAAAAGAAAGCAAATATTCCCACAATTAACAATGAATAAAATGTCACATCAATAAAAAAGCTAAAATTATTCACCTAGTGAACGATTTCATTTTTCATTGATTAAAAAAATAATTTTCAATTATAAAATCATTCTTGGCTTGAATGATTTATTCATATCCACAAACTCATTCGCGGTATGAACAATTTTTGGCGTAGCATTTAGCTAAATATTTTCCATGGTGTAGTATTTTGATAAATTTTTTTATTATTTATAGTATATTGGTAAAAAAACCCTAGTAAAATATAAAGATGAAGTATACTTACACAATATTTTATTTAAACTAGACAATTTTTTGTGCATTGCATGAGTTGAAGTTAAGGAATTTGAAACAAATATCATGAATACCATTGACATTGACACATCTGAGATTGTTAAATTTTTGAGAGTTCTTCTATTCAATCATTTTCTTTCTTCTTGGACATTTCATTCGTACATATATTCTATTTGTTTCTCGAGCTATAGTGAGTTACAGACAGAATTTGAAAAGGTCAAATCTTTGATAATTTCATTATACATGATTAAGTTGTGAAAACTTTTGAATAGGTATTCTACATCTAAACTAAATACTTTCTAGTTAAATAATCTCTTTCTAGTTGCTCTGAAACAATTAGGCGATTTTCTAGAAAAAAATACAAAGTTTTATTTGTGATGGCAACATGCTATGAATTGGTGGTCTTACTTGTGAGGTGAAATCAATTACAAAATGAGCCTTTATACTTTTTGTTACATGGCTTTGAGAAAAGTTTAATTTTCATTATTAAAAAAACATCAATAAGGAGGAAAGAAATGTTCCGGATGTGGTAAGGTGAGTTTTTTTGCTTCATATGCCATTTTCTCAAGACTCTCACGACAATACACCATGTGTCCATGGAGTCATTAATGTCTATAACAAAGTCATACTCATTAAATTCCATCTCTGCCTCAAATGATTTAGGTACACAATCAGATGAGGAAGACTTAAAAAGAGGAATAGTTATGTTTGGAAGGAAATAATTTAGAGTAATAAAACATAGGGCCTTTTATAAATGCATGCAAGCAACAAGGGAACGTTATTCTAATTAATCAGGTGTTTAGAATAACAAAATAGAACATTAATTCCCACTGCATGATTAAATGTATTTAATTTGATAATTACACATAAAATATTCTTTGTCAACTACCTGCAAACACACAACTTTTGAGAAAATTGATGTTGAATTGATTTAGTTTTTCAAGAATTACTACAATGAGAGCTTTTTGGTTGGAAAATTAATTATGGAAGTAGGAGTGGTTGGAGGGATTGAAATAAAAACATATACCAATTTAATAGTGAAGTCTTAAGAAAATAGTTTTATTTCTAATGAGATAATTGAAAATTTGAATGTTTAAAATTTAATCTTTCTCACTATTAGAAGTGACTGAGATTTAATTTACTATCAAGTATCAAAACTAGTATTTTACATATTTTACACATTTGATTGTAAATGTTCATTAATGGAGTAATGGAAGAACGTGTGATTAGAATATGGAATAATTAACTTTAATGGGTTAGTTATAATAATTATCTTTGCAAGAAAGAGGATGAGGAATAATATAAATAAAGACAAATCTAAGAGAGTTAAAGTAGGAATATGGTTTTTTAAATTTCAATTTTCAATAATTAAATATTATTAGGTGGTTTTTATGTTCAAATTTTAACAGAGGATTTTAAATTTAAAATGGATTATTTTAAACCTTTTACAGTAGAGCGTTAAAACGGATACTTACCATGCTTTACTATTTCTTATTGAACAACTATGAAATAAGAAAGCAACATAAAACAGAAATTTGAATGGCCACAATTTTTTCAATTTGTGCAAGTTGAGCAAGGAACAATTATTAAAACAAAAATCATACCTTTTGTTTTACAATTGGACTCTTATGCTCTAATAATTTTAAGATGACCTCCGACACTTCTTTCACAATACTAACATGTGAAGACTGTAAAAATTCACAAACCTCTTCTAATTTATAAATTGGAGTGACTTTATCTTCATCCGATGAGGCAAAATCAATCAACCATGACCTCTAGTAAAATTTTACAACTCTTCAACTTGATTCTATTATTCCTTAAATTAGTTGAATAAAGCTCGTTTGATGATCACAAAATCTACCAAACAATTTTTAAAATAAAATGTATGTGGAAAAGAGAATGTTGATGGGTAAAAAAGCAATAATGATTCTGAAATAAAACATTTGCACAGACAAGGCGAATGCGAACAACATCGTTTCAAATTAAATAATTTTGATGAAATCAATAATTTAATCAATAATTTCAATGAAGACAAAAGGAATGAATTATTTGGCTGTGATTTTTTATTATTTTAATAAGTTATTTTGAGTAATTTTTAAAAATAATTTGATATATTAGATTAAAGAGAATGCTTTTAAAATGTATGATATACAAAGATATCATAAAATTTTGAAATAATTAAATAATGTGAATAAGTAGTTTGGGTTTAATTATATGAAATATGCAAAGAAAGAGAATAGCTTCAATTACATCATGGATATTCATAATTTAAATAATGTCAATGATCATGTAGATTTTTATGTTGACTTTTTAAATTTGATAATTTTTAATGTCAAATTTTCCATAAAAAATATTAACACATAATTTGATTGGCTAGAGTTAATTCCCCACGATGAGGAGTTTGTCAAATGAAAGCAACCAGCATGAACATTTCATTTCCATAAGACGTGGAGAGCAACGTGAAATAAATAGCAAATAAACTGAATCACGTGCATTGAATGGGTTTGACTTGAGAAAATTATAAATAGTAATATAGATTACAACATTACAAAATTTCAATTTAACCAATAATGTTATCTTTCGAAGTTTTGTTTAGATATATATTCAATTTTGAATACATACCAACGTTTTTTGTGAATACATTGTTAATGTAAAGAACAAAAAAATTAAATAATAAATCATGCTATATTATGAATGTAATAATATGTAGAGGTTAGTAGAGTACTATTAAATTTTTTATATCTACAGTGTTAGAAATTATATGTTATTGAAATCATTTGAAACATATTAACTTCACAAAATATCTTTGGTATGATGAAATTTTCTTGTGTTGCACGGATTAAAGAAGGACATAAATAGAAATAAATTGATGGCATAGAAATTTCAAATTTGAGCTAGAGAGCTCAAAATGTAACTTAATCCGACGTAACTAACAGCAAAACTATGTTAACTCCAGAGTGGGTAGATGCCTCCCCTAAAATCTGAAAATTGTATGAATATCTTATGTAATTTACACTATAACCCCACTCATATTTTGACATGCCCCTTGTATGAATTCAAGTAGCAAACTTAGAAATAAGGAAAGGAGCAAAGCGTGTGAGTGCCATGTTGAGATTAGCTTGAAATAATGACTTCAATCAAACAGAAACAGTCAAAAAATAAATAAATAAATAAATAAATAAGCAACAACTTTGTTTTATAATTTTATCTTATGTGTTAATTAAAAGAAATTTTTTGTATTTTGAATTTGAATAGAAAATAAAATAACTGTTAAAAGAAAATTAGTATCAAGATAAAATATAAGATACATACTTATTTTAAACTTCAAGAAAATGCATGAGATATGCTCAAATCATCATCATTAAATAAGTAATAATAACTAGTTATGATAAATCAAAATTTTTACAATATTAATTTATAATAAAATTTTCCATCAAAAATAAAAAGAAAGTATATAGTTTATTCAATTTCATATATATATATATATATATCCCTTTCACATAATTTAAATATTTATATAAATATATTAACTTTATATACTTTTAATGTTAATATGCATAACTTCACATGATTATATGCATAACCATATTCTTAAAAAAAAAAAAAATTGCTCCCAGTCCTAACTCCGCCACTAGATGTAACATTATTTGTATCATTGTAAATCTCTTTGTTCCATCCAACTCAACAGGCTCGAGTATTTTCTTCACATTATGTCCATTAGATATCATAAGAATGTGAGAAAGTAATTTGAAAAAAAACTATATATCTGAAAAATACCAATATCTGGATATGAAATGGGAGTAGCTGATATAAGAAAAAGGATTTGAAAGAGATAAGAAATAATGCAATCATTATGATGAATACAAGTTATTAAGACCTTAGTTATAACTTATAATGCATATATAAGAACTGATAGATGCTTTTAATGCCCTGCTAATGAGATCTTCCTGTTGTGTAATCAGGTATATAATGGACAGTATGGAAGCATTGGCCAGCTGTTGAGATTATTAAAGCAACATTTAATACCTCTAATGAGCCATGATTGCACTGATTGCGTACTAACGGTTTTAGATCAATATTGTAGCTATAGAGCCATGATTTTATATCAAGTACATGAATTTCTATACGAATTTAAATTATGACAAATCTTATTTCTTGTATTAGTAGCAATATTCCATGATTTTATACTCCATATTGATTTCATCTACCACACTGATTACATGGATTCTTCTTTTCCCATCATTTGGCAGACAAACATCAAAATCTAGCTTCAATTTATCTCACTGAACAACTCATTTAAGGATTTATCATCTCTGAAAATCATGTCTACTGACTGCTTGTTTTCTTTATTGCCTTCAAGAGCAGCAGGTTTAAGCACATATTTTGAAGTATCCTTCATACTCCAAGAAACATCACACAGTCATGTAACCAAGAGATTTAAGTCTCCCAACAGCATCTATGTGCCCTGCGTATGACCTTTTATTTGTCTATTAGAGGTATGCAAGTATCACAATCATCCAAGAGAATTAACAGTCTTAATTCCATCAAATACCTGTCAAATTAGACTTCATATAACCAAGAAAGGTCTCAAACATCTAATTTTCCAAAAATACACACACACATTCAATCAAATTTTCAAACAATTCCTCCTATGTTACATTATAAAATCTCAATAATACTCATACATATCTACTACTTTTAATTAAAAATTTAATTCAAAGAAATATTCAGATTTAGACATTATTCAATGCTATCATCACATTTTTGCTTGCTGAATTTATACCCAAAATGAAGATGTCAATATTTGTGTTCACCTTTGATGCTCGAAACTCATTTATTGCCATTCTAAGAGAATCAGCTGATAGGATCAACCGTGACAATGCCCCTGTGCTTAATATGCAATAATTAAATTAAATCAATATAATGCATAGTGACAATCACTGCAAATATTAAGAAAAGTTTCAGTATGTGGTGCCTTCTAGAAAAAACATGGGAGAGAGAAACCATTTATCACATGAAAACTTCATAAGGATTCTAGATGACACACGTATCAAGAATATCTTTAAAATAGGAAAGGATATCTCATTAACAATAAGGCAGGGATACAAGACCTTGAGCCTCGCACGCATGCTTAATTTCACATATACAATAGAAATTCCCCAAATTGAATAAGACTCAAGGATGAGAAGAATCTAGAAAATTCATAGATTGCATAAGTTGATGCCTGGATGTCCAGCAGCGGAGCTTCAGGGACCACCAACAACCTGAGGATTTCAGAGAACGGGAGGAAGAGGAAGATTGTAGCCGATACGACTGGTTTGGACATCACTGTAGACAGAGGTGGGACGACTAGTGATGGAAGGAGTGGTGGACCTGCCGGCGGCGAGGCCGCCATTTGGTATGGTCCACAAAGACATTGAACTCAACTTTGGATCCGCAAAATTCATCAATGGTGAGAGAAGCACGAGTGAGAGTCTGAGAGAACAAATAAGTTCAATTCTGGGAGAGTGTATCACGTCTATAGGAAAAGAACAGCTTGAATTAAAGATTGGTATCCATCTATAAATAAACAAAACTTTAATAACAGAGAGGACAGAGAAGACGTTGCAGGGAAAAAACAAAAAACAAATGGCTAATTGTAAAAAGAAAAGAATATTACCTGAACCATGAGATTCTATGATAAGAGGAGAGGAATCCGAGCTGGCTGTCAAGAAATGCGAAGGGAAGGAAGACTGGTATGTAGAACTAGAATGAAGAAAGTGAAGTAAAGTAAAGGAAACGCTCTCGAGAAATTGAAGATTAGAATAGGCATTGGAAAGGGCAATGGACGTCAACAGAGTTAATAAACGGTTGGAGTTAATGCTCCCTTGGATTTAAACTGAATCAGGCAGGATTGAATCCCAAAACCGAACATATAACCGAGGGATATACAAAATTGAATGAACCAATGAGAGTATAGTATTGACATCATAACAAAGTCAGATGACCAATAAGATGGAAGGAAAATTTATGGTCCTGTCAACAGAGGGGACCAAACAGAGGATTAATAATCATTGGGAATAAGCCACGGCATAAATGGAGTTGGAGATGTGATCGAAATTAATGTTTTCGTTTGAAATGAGAACCGGTAGTAGGATTGATGAAAATAGGAAAGACAGAAAAAATAACACAAGAATAAGTTGAGCCAGCTAATTGCATAAGAGAATTAAATTAAAAAAATTAATTATTTGATTCTATAATTTTAATTCAGTTATAATTTAATTTTTAAATTTTAACTTGTTATAATTCAATTCCTAAAATTTTAATGTGATTGTAAATCAGCTCCTGAACTTTGCTTTTTGCAATTTAATCTTTCAAGTTTCAACTTCTTAAATATTAATATTTATATTTTAAAAATTAAAATTATAAAAAATTAAAAATATTTTAAAATTTATTACTAATATCTTAAATTACTAAACTTTTTTAATATTTATAAATATTAAAATTTTAAAATATTTTTTATTTTTATAATTTTATTTTTAAAATATAGGGATCAATATTTAAGAGATTAAAATTTCAAGGACTAAATTATAAAAGGTAAAGTTCAGAAACTAATTTACAACAAAATTAAAACTTCAAGAATTAAGTTATAATAAGTTAAAGTTCAGTAACTGACTTATAATTATACCAAAACTATAATGACTAAATAATTAATTTTTTCATTAAATTACGATTTACGTAAATTGAACAATGAGATTGAATAAGAGCTAACCAATTAACATCCTCCTATAAGATTTGTTAATGTATATTAGTTTTTTAATTTTATAAAATATATTTTTAATTTTTAAAATTTTAACATTATTAGTTTTATCATAAAAATTTCTTACATTGAATTTTTAAATATTAATTAAATATTTTTAAATATTGACATGTTAAATTTAATTTTTAAAAATAATAATAATTGACATAAAAATAATCATTTAAAACTAATGATATTAAGATTAGAGGACTAAAAAAATACCTAATAAAATTAAAAAATTAAATTAAAATTTTATATAAAATTAGAAAATTAAAAATATATTTTAACTGGATGAAGTGTCATAACATAATTGGTCTATTCTCGCCATACTTTTTTAATGGCAATTCAATTTCAATATTAAATCAGACAGATATTCTAATAATTTTCTCAGCTAAACTTAATTTCTTTCAAGGACCTTTTAAGTTTATTGAAATTTAATCCTCATTTCTAAATATTTTTACCTCCTCACCCTGTTGACCAATTTTTACTTTAATATTTTTTCATGATGAAATTTATCACATAATTAAGAAATACAAGATTTTAGGATGTGAATATTTGTTATATAAATGATTATCTAAATGGATTAGATTGAAAAATTATTAAGTTTAATTAAAAGTAACTTTCCTAAAAATATTTTTTATATTCACGTAAATTCAAATTCAAAAGCTCCTATTTAAGTAGCCATAATGCCTCCATTAGGACCGACCAACGTTTGTTGGTTAAACCCCTAATCTCTATTCACACCTTACTTTATTTTTAACTATCATAATGTTAAAAAAACGTGTCTAATTTTGAAATTATTAAAGTTAAATTAAATTCCATTGGGGGACTTTGTTAAGTGTTAACATTTTATTTTAAAGTTAATATTCTTATATTGTTCTTTGATTTTTTTTTTTAAAAAAAAAGAAAAATTGATACTTTGGAGTTGAAAACACAACGAGCGTTACATATTTGGGCGTGAATATGTTATCCGAAATGCTGGAAAACAGAACTAAATTATTTTCCTTGGTAACTCTATATGTAAGAGACATTATGTATATATGTAATTTCACTAATTTGTAAAACATGATTAGTTTTTAAAATTAATTTATAAATACAAAACTCAAAAGAGCTCATTAACCAAACATCTCAAATGTGGTGCAGGCGATTCCCAAACTAGACACCTTCGGCTGATAGGATCAACACTCAAATCACGATTATATCCCTTGATCATCCAACTCTAAGGATTCATAACTTCAAATTTGGAGAGAGAGAGAGAGCTCTGGTTCAAATTTGATCTATGGTGTTCTTTTAAATCATAAATGTGTTGCTTCGTTCAACTTTCAAAATTAAATATGTTTTTCTTCGTAAATCAACATTAATTTTTCAGACTTCATTTATGCATATATTTCTTTATCAAAAGATCTTAATAAAAAAACTAAAAAGTCTGATAATCACAGTGCAAAAATGCTAGAGTGACATTTCCTTCACTACAAAACAGCATCATAGATCACACACACCAACTAAGACAGCATTTGAACAATTTTTTACACGCAGATTTTGTAATCACATCACAGCTAGCCTTACGCCAGATACTAACTAGACGTACTAAGCTTATAGGACGAGTAGAGAATAGAAGACTACGCTGGCCAATAGTTCATATCGGCGTTCAATATTGTTGTTGCCGCTTCATTTTGGAAGCAGCAATACTGTTCCAGTGGTATCTGTGTCAAATTCTGCACAGAACCCACGGAAGAAGAAGATGATGGGTTTTGTTGAAACGAAGTGAACTGTTCATGGTTGGGAAGTGGAAGGTCATCGTCAACAGAGCTGATCATGGTTTGGTGGAGCCATATCTGAGTTTTCAGAAATTTCACGTAATGGATCGCTTCCTCCAACATGGACACTGTGTCCATCTTACTCCCACCAGGGACCATGCTCTGCAAGATCTTGAACCGATCGCTGATTCGATGCCTTCGTTCTCGAGCCGCCACGCTCTGTGGATCAGTGGAAAGCTTCACTCCTCCCTTGCTTTTCTTCCCGCTCTTTTTTTTCGCCTTCGAAGATGACGCTGTTGATGAGGTATGGTTGCTGGTAGGAGGGATGTTGTACTCCATGCGTTTGACAAATTGTTTGTGAGAGAAAATTTGAAGAGAATTTGGCTTTCAGCTTGATAGGAAAACGTGGTTCGAAACCAGGCTTATATAGGGAGAAGAATGTGATGTTGAAACATTGATTTGAATGAATGAAAGAGATGTCATCATGTGAATCAGCCAATCTTTGGCGCAGGATACGGGTGTTTTCGGTAGGGACCCGAAGTCTGGGTCCCAACTGAAAAATAAATCAGCTCTGTTCATTTCCTCTCCTTTAATTTTTATTTTAATCTTAATGCTTTTTTGGTTTTATTGAGTGAATGAGCGAATTTTGGGGTTCATGTAGATTTATTTGGTTTTAAGTTGAATTAAAATTTAAGCATGACACCTCAATAGTTCAATGAGTATTTAGAGGTTGGGTATTATACTGAGTGATATTGCTCATCTTGAATAACTTGGACCAATATCAAAACGAGGTTAGGCATTGAAATGCTTATATATTTGTTATTCCTTTTTGTGTGGGGGATTTATCCAGTTTCGAGCCTCTCTATTTCCTGACTCTAGTCAAGTGTTAGTACACATTTTTTCCCGCTCACTCGCAGCGCGACATTATGACCCACCGAGAAGAAGGGCAGAAATACTATCAGCCTAATCAGTTTGCCAGTATCAGTAAGAGCTCGGAGAGAGATTAGGCCCTTCGTCTGTCTTGGGGTTCCAAAGGTCAGAGCCTCAGAGGTGTAATCAAGAGAAAGAGAAAGCTACCGGGGGGTCCTTTCCTGAAATCGAAGCAAATAATGAAGTAAATATACTACTGTCAGGTATGTCTAAATCCAAGGACAAGATAGACCATTCGTTGGCTGCCTTTATCATGTACGGTTTTTGCTTTTGTTTCCACCTTATGTTCACACCTACTCATGTTTTGCAATTGGGTGCTGTTCTTTTTATGTAGTAAAGCAGAGAGTTTATGGTGGAACCAAGTAATCAGCTCTTCTTTTTAAGAAAATAGTGATAACTCAAAGTTTGCTGGAGCCACTAGTTTATTAAAGCCTCATTTTCAAATCCCCACCCATCCCAAAGAAATTAAAGTTTTGTTTTTTTCTGGTCTTTGTTGGGGGTATATTCCTCGAAAGCAATATATTTCATGCCACACATTACATCCCTTTAGACCCTTTTGTGATCTCAAAGTGGCTAACATTAGAAGTGTTTGTGAACTTTAAATACAGAAAATCTAAAATTGCTCTTTTTCTCTCAACTGCATTGAAAATCCTCTGTTTGGTCACACGGGCAGGAATGGATCTGTCTCTAATTTTATTTTAGTGACTTTTAATCAGTTTGAATGACTGTAGTTTGTGGTTTGTTACTCTGCACAATACTGGAGGAGTGGTATTTGCTGTGCGAGGTAAATGATGATACAGAAATTTTCTAGAAATACAAGAGTAAAAGCTGATAGCATAGTAACTTCTTGGAGATGAGAGAAAATTTTATAGTCAAACGGACAGTGAGACGGACAAGAAGAGAGCACGAGCACATGTGGCTCCGGCTTTCACGATTTGAGGGTGGGGGAGTGGGTAGAACTCTAATTATTCTTCCTTGTGCATATGAATATCGCCAGCTTTACATGTCCACTCAAATCTATTGCTTCTATGGTCAAAGACATATCAATCGCTGCCCAGAATTGTAGAATGATATATATTAAAATAATCAGAACGATATAATGCACCGGCACATTTTGTAATAGTAAAGCATTATAAGTATTTCTCTGTGTATCTGATAACAAAATCTGATAACCAAATGGGGAAAAAGATTATACTGAAACACACACATCAGTCACCGTTTCCTCCGTGTGTCTGCCTCTGATGATGTCAGGGAGTGATGGTGAGGATTATTGAAATGAACTAATTTTGGTTTGAAACTGGTGAATAGTGAACCCCTCAGCGGGGCTAACTAGCTTCTTGTCCTAGCTAGTGATTGGACCTTATAACAAAACCATGCCAGGAGGCAGCGAAACAGTATGATGGGAGTTGGTGAGCCTTCGGATTAGCGGTTAGCTGACGATTGAGTTTGAATTGGGTAGAGTCCTACAGGGAATGAGGGTGGAGGAATAGTGGTGCTGGTCGCTAGTTACTAATAGTGGGGAAACAATGCCTAGTTATAGTTATAAGGACAGCCAAAAGGGTCAGTCAGAAGGAAAGTTCAACCCGAGAAAGTGCTGGTATTTGTTTGGAACAGATAGAGTTGAATTTCTTTAAGTTGGGAGATTGACATGCTACAAGGCTCGAGGAAGACAATATTGCCCCAAGTTCTTCAGAGTCTCTCTGTCTCATACTCTGCGATAGAGAAGGAAGAAAAATGTATGGCTTCCTCTGCAGATAACAAAGGCTAACGCACATTCATGATTTTAAAGGCTCACCTTTTAAAGACGAAGCTTTGATATAAACTCACAATGAAATCGTTTTGTTTGTCCTTTAGGTTGAATAGCAGCTTTTACTGTCTCAAGATCTCAGTCACCCGTTTTCCCTCCACACAAACCTCTTCTCACGGCAAGCCCTGCTCTAGCCGCGTGCTTCAGGATGAAATGTGATTGATTATAAAATTCACTGATGATTTCTGGTGTTTCCCTGATGTCATCATCTTCATTTTCTTTGTTGGCCTTGATATTTTCCTTTGGACATCGACGAATCATTTTACCAAATCATTAATGAATTGTTACAAAATTTACTTATGTACTGAACTATAATAATGTTACACCGTAGGTTTACAGATTTTTCAATAGGAAATTTCCACTTCTAGTTCCATTTTAATGTTTTTTTTCCGTTTTTCATCGTAAAAATAAAATCATTTTTATTATTTGTAGGGCCCCTTTTTCTAATGTGATTATTTCCCTTCATTTATTTGTTTGAAAGAAAAATAGTCTATTTTTAACTAGTATCAATTGAATTTTTTATTGAAAAATATATAATCTAAAATATTAAGTTAAATTATTAAAAAATAGGTAACCTTTAAATAAACGTACTAAAAATACAGTGATGGTCAAGGTTTAGGATTTGTATGTTTCAATGTTGGTAGATGTTCGCCCTTTACGGATAATGAAATGATATGGTACATCTTCAAGTAATATGATTATACTCCCTCCATTAAATAATATAAACTATTTTTTAAAAAATTAAATATTTAAAATTATAAAGTATTTTTAGTTTTTTGAGTTTTTATCATTATTTTTTTTAAAGGTGTTCTTATTAATGAATGATTTTATATTTATTATAAGATATTTAATAAAAAAAATATGAAAAGATAAGGTTAGTTTGAAAATAGATAATTATTTTATTAAAAAAAATTTAATTAAAAATATTTTATAATTTTAAATGAAAAGAATATATATATATATATATATATGGGATATAAAGGCAAGCAAAAGATTGAAAAGAAGAAAAGGAAAAGTAAAAGAGGACAAACAGTTTAAAGCCTAAACATAATGTTGGTCCTCCGAAAACATGCTAAGACGGCCAACCAGAACATTAGGGTGATTCTTTAAATATTTATACCCTGATGGTGGCTCATAAACTTTGTAATTCATAAATCTACGAAAAGAGAAACTTTTTGCTGATGATTTATAAAACATTAATGAGATACCACTCTTGAGTATTTATGAACCCTTTCAAAAGTCATACATTTTGAAATAATTCATGATCATTTTCATTTTGAAAGCTTTCTTCCAGTTAACATATTATTGGAAGCTTGGAATGGTGGTAACGGGTTCAGCTAATAAATGGTTTTTATAATTTCTTCAATTCTTTGAAGGTGCATTTAAATGGGTGAATTTAGTTAAAAATTTTAATTTAAAATCTTACATTTGAAATTTATAAATTTTAAATTCTTTATTTAGATGATATAAAAAATTTTAAATTATAATAATAAAATTCTTTCTTTGAATTTTAAAGTAAAATTTTAAATTTTAAATTTTACATTTGAATTTAAAAGAAACTCAGATGACGTTGGTGACATTCCTAATAAAAGTCGGCAGTCTAAGCAGCTAACTTCCATTGACACCAGACCATCAGCGCCTATTGGGACTGGATGGCCAACTTCAACTAGGATCAAACCATCAACATCAACTAGAATATAATCGATAGCTCCCACCAAAATTGGATTGCCACATGCAATAGGGATTGAACGGCTGGCTCCCACCGTGATTGAGACCAAACCAATGACTTTGATTGGTGCTGGTGGTTTGATCTTGGTTGCAAGAGGCCGCTCGATCCCAATCATCATAGGTTGCCATGTTTTTGTCATTGCTGGAGGTCAAGTCTTAATGAAAGTCGGTCATCTGATCCCAATTGTCATCGATAGTCCCGTCCACGTCATTGTTAGTAGTTCGGTCATAGTGAAAGTTGGCTGTTCGGTCCTAGTAGAAGTCGATAGTCTTGTCTTGATTGTCGCCCACGCTTTGGTCCTTGTTGGCACTGGTGGTTTTATCCTTGTAGAAGTCAGTCTTTCGATCCCTGCCAGCATTGGCAGTTTGGTCCCAACGAAAGTCAATTGTTCAGTCTCGATTGATACTAACAGTCTAATCTTGGTCGACGATGGAAGTTTGGTCTAGGTTGACAATGGTAACCCTGTCCCGGTTCAATCCTATCTTTTTCGGTTAATTGATCAAATTATAAAAGAAATTAGTTAGGATTTAGATTAATAGAGATTTGAAAAAGATTTTAAATTATAAAAAAATTGAGGTGAAACTTGATTTTAAATTTAAATTAAATATAAATTCATACATTTTTAATTATTTAAATAATAAATTTAGCTCAAATTAAAATTAAAATTTAAATCTATATGCATTTTAACATAATATGAAAGTATTTTTGTAGTGTGCTCTAATTTTTCAACATGCACACTCACGAGCCATATGACCTCCTGATTTTTTTTTTTAATGAGTTCAAATTTAATGATGCAGTTTTCTTTACTGTTTGTGGAAGTCAAAATGATCGGTTCATTAATTGCCGAAATGAAACATGATGCTATCAACTTTT